ACGCTGTAGCGGCATCTAAATAATAGGTTCTGAACATGGGATCAAGAAAAAATATGTAAAGTCTACAAGGAGATTTAGTTTGCCAAAGTTGTTGTGATGTACTTGTGCATGTGAATTTTTCAGTTGAGACAAGCAAAAGAATATACCGGAGAAAAACTTGGAGATGCGGCGGAAGCGGTGCTTACTTTTCAAATTTCCTCATATAAGGTTTTGCTTGTAGTTATGTTGTGATTTATCTCATTTTTCTAGGCCAGAAAAGCTGCGGAATATGCTGGTGACAAAGTGTATGAAGGCAAAGACAAGGTACTCCAAAATTTAGCTTATGTGTCTGCCACAGATAATTTATAAATTTCAGCTGGGAGATGCAGCAGGATACGTAAAAGATAAGGTGGTTGATGGTAAAGACATGGCTGCCGAAAAAGTCGGGGATGCTGCGGGTTACGTGCACGAGAAGGTCCGAGACGCTAAGGACTACGCCGGCGAGAAAATCAAGCAAACCGGTGAAGCCGTGAAGAGGACCGAGTTGTAATTTTCGCTATACTTGTATTAACTGACTTGTAAGATATGTACAGAGCGCTCATTGTGTGTACCATTTTCTGTTTCTATAGTCCTAGTGTAATCTAGAAACTGAGAGCAGGTATCTTGCTCTGGGTCGTGTCACTTTCTCATATTTTTTTGTCGATTTGTCGATAAATTTGCTTGCCTATGTGTGAAGGGGTTTTAATGGCCACGAACGCTTCTGTATCCCTGAAAGGAACCGATGGTATTGACCTCAAATCCTGATTACACTGGTGCTTAGCGGGGAATAAATATGCAGTGAATTTTCTGCAACATGTGTAGAAGGATGATATTCACACAGCTGTATTATGGTCCGGATCAAATTGGGGTTCGTGCTGAATTGCGCGTAATAAATAGTTAGGAGCATTTTAATTTCTGCTAAAATTACAGCGATTTGCGCGCTATAAATGTTTGCCTTAATTGGGGATTTGCACGAACTGCTTCTTAATTTTGTACTCGACTAATTCTGGGAACGAATCTGTATTCGGTTTGAACGGAATTGAGTGAGCTGAAGTCTCTTATTGTTAGTAATCAAGCAAGCAACACTTCAGAATCACAATTAATTAAATTCCCCGCCTCAGACTTCAGATTTACCACAGCAAAAAATTTGACCTCCCAAAACTCGAAAAGTATCTTTCGGGAGATATTTTTTGCACACTACTCACAGAATTTCGCGGTTACACTCGAAGGGTGAGAAAAATTGGAAGTACCGGAGAATTCGCAGTATCTGTCGTATGTCATAAAATTCAAGTGAAAGCTATATACGCCAAGATGAGAATATTGGTAGAACTACACACACATTTTGAGATACT